CAGGACTAGCCCGTGTCCTCCACGAACACGGCCATCCCTGTCCGCCCCGCCGGGACGTAGGCGAGGGCATCCACCTCCCCGCCGCCGCGGCTGGCCTTCTGGAAGTGGATCTCCAGGGCGTCCCTCATGGACTCCACACTCAGCACGTCGGGGATGCCCAAGAGCAGGACAGTCCTGGGGCAGCGGGAGGGCTGGAGCTGGACAGAGCAGGGGGTGAGCTGCAGAGCAGTGCAGGGAGAGGGGCTTCAGGAGCCCCCCGGCCCGTGCTGCCTCAGCCCGAGCTGGTGGGTGCTGCTTGCACAGGGTTCATGCCCTTACCTGCATGTTAGAGATGTCTGCACTCATGCATGGTGATATTTTGACTTTGTGTGTCCCTTTCCCAATGGGCACCTGAATAAATCCTTTTTCAATCAGCTGCTCTGCCACTGCATATGGAGAGGAAAGTCCTGAGCTGCCCAGATCCCAGGTAAGCTCCAGGGTTCTGTTCCTGGCATAGGCACCAAGGCTGACAGTGCCCAGCTCAATCACCCAGCACAGTTTTGGGGGAGACAGGATAGCCTGGGGCTCACTCAATCTTCCCTGTTCCCCAAACACAGCTTCATCTGCTCTCAGGAGATTTCCTGCCTGAGAAGACTGGGCTATTCCACCCCTGCCAGCCACCCAAGCTCAGCACACCCCACACACCTCCATCCTGTGTGAAGGTCAGCACCACCTGGTCAGAGTCCTCCAGGAACTCCCTGCTCTCCACCTCGCTGCCCCCATTCTTTGTCTTGCTGAAGAAGAGCTCCAGCTTGTCCAGCAGTCCATCCTTGGAGATGTCCAGGCTGGGCAAGTTAGACACAAGGATGCTCCTGCTGCTCTGAGTCAGCCTGATCTGTGGGTGGCAGTGGCCAGTCAGTGTCAGGGCAGTACTGGCCCCAGAGCTCAGGAGAGCAGCGCTGGCTGTGGCTGGTAGCTGTGCCCTGGTCGAGGCAGGCTCAGACAGGGGAAGCAGCGTGGCCAGGGCAGCTCCTTGGCACAAGGAGCTGGGGACCCACGGGCCCTACCTCCAGGGCAGATGGCACCAGGAGCTCCACTGGCACTGCCTTCACTTGCATTCTGCACTGGTCGAGCTCCTCCAGTTCCCCACAGCTCAGCTCCACCGTGTGCTCCCTCAACTCAATGATCCTCTGGGCAACTGTGGGCAGGGAGAGCCCACAACACAGGGGAGTGACTGCCCACTCCCAGCACTTTCCAGGACAGGACACGGCACAGCAAAGGTGTCAGAGAGGAGGCACAGCCCCACACAAAGCAGGGAGAGGGGCAGCACCAAACTCTGGCACAGGGAGGGGACACAGGGCAGGCCCCAAAATGATCGAGCACCTGGCCAGAGCAGTGTTCTTCTCACACTTACCCTTTGCCTCCTCAAAGGTGATGAGAGCTGAGCCCCCCGGCAGAGGGTAGCGGATCAGCGGGGTGAGCATCAGCTTGTTCATGTCGTCCTTGTTTACTGTGAGTCCCTTAAAGACCATTTTCTTTTCGGGCAAGGCAGATAACATCTAGGTTCAAGTACAGACAGCACCTGGAGGAGACTGGACCCTGCACAGGGCATATCCCTGCCAATCCACAGACTAGAAATAAACTCATGGCTCAAATGAACAGCTGGAGAACCTCAGCAGAGTCTCTCCTAGTCTCTCTCTGTGCCTGGAATCCCAAAGCCATGACCAGAGCTCCTGGCCCTGGCAGAGGAACTGCCTGCTAGCAGGAGCTCTTCCCGTCATCACAAAGTGCCCAGCTGCATTCAGCTGCAGCTTCTCTAGCCAGGCTTGTGCCCTTGCCAGCAGACCCAAGTGCCCACACACACTCTGTTACCCTCACAGGATCATTCCAGAGGACCCTCAATTCTTCCAATTTATTTTTCAGAACCTGCTTCTCCTGCCTCAATCTGCTGTTCTCCTCCTTTATTGCAAAAATCTGGAAGGAAGGAAGGAGAGAGTGGGAATTAGGGAACACCAGGACACAAGGGGCTGCAATACACTTCTGTTCTGAGCACAGCACTGCTTTGGGCACAACTCCACCCCATTCTCCTGCTCTTGACTGTCTGCAGCTCTGCCCTGGTTCCTCTCTTTGAGAACAGCCCTCCCCTTGCTGCTGCACTGCACTTCTCAGCACAGGCCTTATGTTTCCCATGAAACCTCTGCTGGATCCCAAACAAGTGACCTCAGAGCAGTGACCTGCCTGATGCCCTGCCACCCTTCCAAGCCTAAGACACATCCACTGAACACTGACCTGGCAGGCTCTTTCTTCATCTCCATTTAAACACAGCTGTTGCTCAAAAATTTTATTAAGTTCTTTCTTCAGCTCTTGTGTCTTTTGCTCTGCAGCTTTTTCGGCTATTTGTAGCTTTGCATGGTCTTGCTCCAGAGCACTGTAAAACTCCTGTGAGAAGCACCATCAGACAGCAAGACCCTGACGACATTGTGTCACCCCCACCAGCCATCCAGCCCCGGCTGTGCCTTTGGGAGTGAGCCTGGACCCTAGAACAGCCTCTCCTCTACATGGGATTTACTCCTCTCTGCCGCTTCTGACTCGTAGTCCCAGAGGAGACTGGAGCTCCCTCCTGGCCAGGCCGGAGCGCAGCCCGGACAGTTGGGATCCGGCCGCCCTACCCCTCTCTCGGCACAGCCGAACCCACCTTGAGCCGCTCGACCTCCCTCCGGAGCTGCTCGGGGCCCTCCGAGCCCTCGTCCTGCGGGCCCTCCGGGGGGAACAGCCGGATGAAAGATTCCTAAAGACAGGAGAGGTCTCAGCCGCGCTGCGCCGCCCCCCGCCCGCAACTCCTGAAGTAATCCTCCCCGTGGTTCAGCTCTTCCTCACCTCCTCCGAATCCATCCCCGCTCGGAGCGGAGCCCCGGTGAGCCCTGCCCTGCCCGCAGGGACCGCTCTCGGCTCGCCCCGCGCTGCCGGGACCCCGCTCTCGCCTTTCGCTTTCGTTTTCTTGGCCTCGCTCCGCCCCGGCCCCTCCGAGCGCAGCCCCGAGCGCGGCCCGGGGGCGGTGGAAGGCCGGGCCCGTCCAGCCCCGCCCGATTCCTCACCACCTCCATCTCCCCCCCATCCCGGGCCCGCTTAACTCGCCTTCCCTGAGCACCCACCTGCCCTGCCAGCAACAGCTAACACAGAAATAAACTCTTCCTGCTCCTTTACAACCCGAGCCAGCCCCTGCTCCCCGGCTGGCCAGCAGCCAGCACTGCCCCGTTTGGGAAGCTAAAATCCACAGGTTTGTCACCACATAAATCACTGGGCACTTAGCCGACACCCAGAACCATCCGTTTGCCTTCCCTCTCTCACAAGGATCACCTCAGTTTTGGGAGTAAGAGATTTGCCCTGTGACAGGAATATCAAGCACCCTGCAGCTGCAGAAGGGAAGTGCAGTCCTGGCCATGTGGATGCTGAATGTGAGATCAGCAGTGTCTGTGTGAAACTAAGTCACATAACCTTCTCACACTGGCCTGAGAACTTGTGAGGAGGAACTCAAAACAGTCCTTGGAGAAGGAAAACAACCTTTGCAGGTGGTGTTTTTTGTCTCCTTGTTGTTTACTTGTAAGAAACAGTCGAGGGGTGTTGTTCCTAACTGTCCAATGACAGTGATATTAGCTTGATGACCAACAAAAGTTTTTACTTTTTCAGATCTTTTTGGAACTGTCTATAAAAGAGGATCTGGAAGACTAAAACAAGCTCCCTTTGCAACTAAACTCGAGAGTCTCTGCTGTCACCATCCCATTTCTAGTACAGTGTGACATGGCCACACCTGGAGCAGTCCAGAGGTGACACCTGCACCCACGGCTTGGGCTGCACAAATGCACTGATGCTCATCTGGACTGCAATGGCTTTCCTGGCTCTTAGACACACAGAGGAAGCATGACCACACCACAAAGGCCACTGCTTGTTTGTTAAATAACAAAAAATTCATAGTTTTTAATAAACATTTATTGATGCAACCCTGTTACACCTTTAGAATCGCAGCTTCTGGAAAAACCACTTATTCTTGCCAGTTTTGTACCTGAAAGAGAACACACAGGTTAGAGAAGGATGTATACTAGCAGCTAACAGCACCAAACCCATACCTGAGCTGTCCCAGACAGACAGAATGCAGCACTCAGCTCACCCAGAGGCAATTCACCCAATGTCTTTGGCCTGGGCTACAACTAAACCCACTTTAAATATTGAAATTCCAAGGGAAGCAATTCCAGGTCCCAGGTTTCTCATGAAGGACACCTGCACTGTGTAGTTTCCACCCCAACAAGCACAAGCACAGGGCAGGGCCATCCTGCAGGACACCTGGTGTGGCAGGGGGAGATGCCCGTGGAGAACATCTCGGGGGCTGCCTGAGATACTCTGTATCCCACTGAGGTCACACAGCTCCTCCCTCTGAAGGAGCTTCTGAACAGAAAACTGTAAAGAAATATCAGCAACCCAAGCACTCCCACGCAAAGTGTCAGCACTGCCCTGGCCCACCCAGGCCAGTGGTAAGAGAGGATGGACTGGCAGCACGTTCTCAGATCATCCCTGGCTCCTGAAGGCCCTGCACGTGCTGGCACAATGCTGCACACACACACAGGTGGAAAGAACACGCTCAACAAACATGCATGCAAAGAAGCTGGGGCACAAGTGCCAACTTGGAGACTCACAGCCACACCAAGTCCCCACCCTGGGGATGCGCACCACCACCACTGAGGAGACAAACTCCCAACTCACCTTTCCTCAAATTTCACCTTGGCTTCACGTCTTGCTTTGCGTTTCAGAGCAGGATCCCTGAACACATCCTTATTGACCACAGTTTTGTCCAGGGGAATATCCACAGAATACCTGGGAGAGGGCACAATGGTTCAAAAGGGGCCTGGTACATAGCACAGGGCTGAAAACCAAGCCAGGATTGGTCAAACACTCATCCTAGTGTCCAGTAAAGGACTTACAGCTCCTCAAGTCTCCTCAGTTCAGGAGTCACCAAACCATTAAAGCAGTCTCAGTTCAGCCTATACAGGGAACAGCCACACTTTTTCTGAGGGATTCGCAGCTGTGTTCGAGCTGTTTCCACCACCAGCTCTGTGGTGCCTGGGAGCTGCTCTGGGAGCTCTGAGGCACAGTAAGAAATGGCCCTGCCAGTTCCAGACCCCCACAGCTGTCTCAAACTGCTCACCTGCTGACACCCCTTGAGCAAAGGGAAGATCGGCTACCCTATTCCAAAAGTCCATTAGTCCACTCAGCCCCAGACCCCAAACTCCCTGTTTTTGCAGGGCCTGAGCCTCACATTCACTCAGCCACATCATTAACAGCCTTGGTAACTCCCGGTGTTCAGTAGAAAACACAAGAACCACGAAAGCAGCCAAGACTCCTCCAGCCGTGCCTGCAGCAGCACTCCCGGGGCCGCACTCACCGAGTGGGCATCAGGTGGTTGTAGTTGTAAACCTTCACGAAGGACTTGATCTTGGATCTTTTAGCGATCTTTTTCTTGCCCATGGCAGCCGTCACCTTACGCGGGTAGCGGTCGATGCCGGCCACCAAGGCATGGCTGTAAGGCCGGTCCGAGGTGCCATCGTCGATGTTCTGAAACCAACGGGCAAAACCGCGGCGGTAGCACCGAGGAGCCGCGGCCGCGCC